CATACTCCTACGATAAAAATAATGCCCTAAAATATAATACTTTTAGACTATTCTCTCCCCCATAGACTTCAATGCCGTAAACATATTTTTTTAATTTATTATTAATTTCAATGAAAATTTACAGAGACTTTGGATTTCCACCCATTCATTGTTGCACTTTTCTCCCCTCCCAATCCTCCCCCCTCCCCAATTCACCTATTTTATCTTCTCCTGGTTGTAGGACAGACACTCTTAATCCTTTCTTTAAACATCTTGAAATCTTCCTAAAGATTGCTAACTCAAAGTCTCCATGGTGTGGGGACCTCAGTTTGGACACAGGCTGTCACCTCCAAGTAATACTGTCTTGAACAAATCACTTTATTTCTTGAAAGCTAAATTTTTGTCATCTACAGAATGGCACTTACAGGCTTATTGGCATTATTAAAGGAGGTAAGTGAAGGACAGCCACACAATAGACAGTAAGCATTGGTTTTGTTCCTTCTCTTTTCCTTGTGAAATTATGTATAAAGGGCTAAACTGTGTATGCATTAACCCTATGTAGTCAGAGACCAGTGAAAGTGTTGTGGGTCTGAGTGGAGGCAGGCTTCATGTAGACTATGGGACTTGATAGATGAGGAAGATTTACCTCAGTAAAGAGAAGGCTGTGGGAAAGAAGAGCAGATACTTCAGGCGGGGGGATCAATATGGTCAAAGTACTGAGACAGGAACATGGCAGGCTGGTGGAGAGTATCTTTATTACCTAGTACTTCTATGATAGAAATACCACAAGTGAAAAAAAAAGAAATTAAAAAAAAAAAATACCACAAGTGGTTGGTTTAAACAGACATTTATTTTCTGCCCCCACCGTTTAGGAGGCGGAAAGTCCTGGTTCAGGCTCTCTTTCTCTGTTGACTCTGGAGGAAGGTCCCTGTCTCCTGAGCTTCTAATCCTGGACATATGGTTTAGCATGTCTTCCCCATCTCTGCTTTTTTTCATGTGTTTAGTCCAGGGCTTCAGAATTGTTCAGTCATGGCTGACGGAAACAAGAGCATCATAACTACTGCACAGCAGCCAAATCTCTTGTAGATTTTGACTCTGTGTTCCACTCTGAAGTTACAGCCAACTGCTCTGCTTTGAATGTGTGTCACCTCCCACAGTCCTGCTGATAATTTGATCTCTCACATCAGAAAAGTTTCAGAAAGCTGGTGCAGGGGTTTGAATTATTATTAGCAGGGTGTGGGTTGCTTGACTGCCAATTATCTTTGAATAGGATACCATTGCCTGTTTCCTTCTAGGATCAAAATCTCATGTGCAAGCAATTGGGTTACTAGTCCTTGTTTGTTCCTTTGTTTCCATTGACCATGTCTGAACCATATTTTTTTTAAAAAATCTCATTGCTGTTGAGTGGGAACAAACAGCAGGTTTTGAGGAGACTGTAAATCACAAGGGAGATTTCCAGTCTTTTTCCTATGGAGACACTGGTGGATTCAAACTGCTACAGAGGGGCTTCCTTCAGGTTAGCAGTACATGAACTATTAACTACACCGTCAGAGGTCCCTACCTTAGCAAGCTAGGTCAAGTCCCTGACTTAGTCTCTTTTATATTTTAAGGGATATTGACATCCCACACTACTTCTGTCTCATTCACATAACCCAATTCCCAAATGGATTCTCACGAGAGGCATAGAAGTGCAATTCATAACAATGAGATAGAGCAATCCATGTTGAGCAACAGGATAGTATGTCCGCCAGGATCTCAAGTACCAAAACAGCATCTCAGAGAAATTTGAAGGGCCGGAGCCAGCAGCCCAGCTTCGCACACCTCCTGTTGCCTGAGTGGCCCTCCTTCTGGGCATGAGGTCATCTGTCCTCCTTTCCTCCAGGATGATGACCGGTGTGAGGAGTGGGAGCGGCATGAAGCGCTGCATGAGGATGTGACCAGGCAGGAACGTACAACTGAGCGGCTCTTTGAGGAGGAGATCGAGCTCAAGTGGGAGAAAGGTGGTTCTGGCCTGGTGTTCTACATTGATGCCCAGTTCTGGCAGGAGGAAGAAGGAGGTAATGCCAGCCACCCAGGCCAGGGCATTTCACCCAATGCCTGCTGCATTCTTCTGGGATGAAATCCCTTGTATTGAGCCCAAACAAAAGCCCAAGGAGGGGGTTTTCTTTACCGTACTTGCAAGCATAATCATCTCTTCATGGGAGGGAGGTCAGTGGGGTACAGGGAAAATGGCCCCCATCACCAAATTTTGAATGACTGTACTCTCAGAGGAGAGGGTTAAAAATACAAAATACCCCCTTTATAAAGCTTCTTTAGCTTCCTTTAAAAAAAAAATACAAAACGCCCAAATTCTAGAACATGTATCTAATTCTGGATTTAGTGTGCAACAGAACTCAGGAGCCCTTAGCCTACTCTGCTGGGTGATTTTATGTCTCTGCAGACTTTGATGAACAGACAGCTGACGACTGGGACGTGGACATGAGTGTGTACTACGACAGAGGTAATGGGCCAGGGTTGTGATACCGGGAAGTAGAACTGGTGACTGAATCAGGGCAGAAAAGGGACCATCACTTGGAGTAGTATAAAAACATTGTGGGCAGCATGGGAGGCAGTGGTGGCACCTGGCTTCCACTAATTCTACAAGGAGGAAGACTCTCCATCAGCAACACAAAGCTCCTTCCTGTGAAATTGGACATGCTTCCACACTACTGCTCCTGCTGCTTGAGGGCTGGTCTGGGTCTCCATCTCGCACAGGACTCTGGCCCAAAAGAACATACTGCACTCTGCTGCTTTTTTGATGGTAGCAAGATTCTAGCTTTCTGCCTCTGAATCTGCTCAGTTTAAGTCTGGCAGGATGGTAAAATTGATTTATTCCCTTGTTAGTAGACTCAACAACACCTTATTTGCATGTTCTCCCTGAAAACGTAGTCTTTACCTTAGTCCCTGTATCAGCAAGCTATCCAGTCCCCTCGGTGAAAGCATAAACACCCACATTTGAATATCCCGCTCAGCCATACTGGGAAAGTCAAAGCCAGTGGTGAGAAAAGCCATATTAAAAAATCTGCTGCACCACGGGTAGCCCACTATAAGTATTTCACTCTTAAAACCAAACATCTCTAGTTGAGTGTATACAGAGGTGTAGGCAGAGCCTTGTGATCTTTGTGGCAGAGAAACAACATTTCCTAAAACAACAGCTCCTAGAGGGAGCTCTAGGTATTATGAGCAAGTTCTGAAGGGTAGGGTATAGTCAAGAGTCAGGCTCTGGTTAGATTCTGGAGTCAAAACTGACCTGGGTTCAAATCCTAGTTCTATTATTTGTTGATTCTATGATGTTTCTTTGCCACAATTTCTTCATCTCAAAAGTGATGGAGACATGGTTCCTACTTCTGACCAGCTTCCAGCCTAATGAACAAGATAATAAATCCCTACAAAAATTAGTAAGTCAGTCTTGTGAAGAGGGTCTTAGAAACCTGGTTTTCTCTACCTTCTTTTGAGAAAGACTCTTCTTCAAACTGGGTTCTGGTTTCTCAGATGGTGGAGACAAAGATGCCCGAGATTCTGTCCAAATGCGTCTGGAAAGAAGGCTCCGCGATGGCCAGGAGCATAGTTCAGTGATTAAGCACCAAGTGGGCACCTTTGAGCGACACACTAAGGTGAGCATTGAAGCCACTCCATCGACCCCAACTGGTTTTTTCCCCTCTTCGCATTTTCCCCTTTCCCTATTAGAAGCCCTTTCTGAGCCTTTTATCTCTGCAGGGCATTGGGCGGAAGGTGATGGAAAGGCAAGGCTGGGCCCCAGGCCGAGGCCTGGGCAGCAGGTGCTCAGGAGTACCTGAGGCCCTGGATAGTGATGGCCAGAACCCCAGATGCAAGCGTGGATTGGGGTGAGCGAACCTGAGGAGCTTCCCTGGGGGCCTGATCTAGCCTTAGAGCTATAACCTGGTTTCTGCCTTCTCACTGGTTTTGGAATGGGTGCTAGAAAAACATCAAAATAGAGTTAGAAGGGAAAATTAGGTCTGATACTTTTCCCCCTTTTTTTAAAATAAAATTTTATTTTAATTGTACTTTTAACAAACATTTACAGAGACATTAGATTTTCATTCATTGTTACACATTTTACTCCCTCGCCTTCACTTCCCCCTCCCCAAATTCACTTTTTTAAAAAATATTCATCCATTGCTGCACAATTCCCCAGTCCTTTTTACAATGCTATATCTCATTCTGAAAGGTCTGGTACTTTTCTTTTAAAAAAGACCCAAACCTGAAGACTTAACACTATACTTCTTACAAGAGTCCTTTCCTTTGCCCCTAGTTAGTCACTGTTGGACTTTTAATGTGATTTCTATTAGGGAGCTCTAGTGGTCTAAGTCAGTAGGGAGTTGCACTACAAACCAAAAAGCTGCCAGTTTGAATCCACCAGCTAATTAATAGGAGAAAAATAGGCAACCTTTTCCTATGTGATTGACAGCCTCTGAAAATCCACTAGAGTGTCAGCTCTGAGTGTTTTGACTTGGTGGCAATGTTTTAGAGTTGGGTTTTTTTAAAAAAAAAAAAAATTGATGTGTTACTGATAGCTCCTTGAGCAGCATTTACCAGAATGAAGGCATCAGTAAGCCCTTGGCTGCTAACACTGTTAGTGGATAGATGAGGGAGCCAAAGAATGAAGACCCAGATTTAAGGACTTGGCTTTTGAAACAAACCAGAAATGATATATTTATTTCTCTGTCCCTTCCTATTCTTTTTACTGGGGGTTTGAGAGCAAGTAGCCCACTCACTAAGATTTCTTTATGCAGGTACCATGGAGAGAAGCTCCAGCCATTTGGGCAGCTGAAGAGGCCTCGTGGAACTGGCTTAGGGCTCATCTCCACCATCTATGATGAGCCCCTGCCCCAGGACCAGCAAGAGTCACTGCTCCGCCGCCAGCCACCCACCAGCATGAAATTCCGGACAGATATAGCCTTTGTGAGGGGCTCCAGCAGCGCCTTGGACAGTGCCTCTGAACCAGAGTAATAAGGTCAGGTGATTCCTTGGTCAAGATCACACAAGATGGCAGCCCTATCTCTGCCTGGCTTTATATCCCACTTAATAAGAAGTCAGTGAAGCAGACGGAATACAGCTTGTCTGGGTGCTTTGTTCTGAACTTGACTTCTGGAAATCTACCTCAATGGTTTGTTTGGTGTTTTGTTTTGTTTTGTTTTGTTTTTAACAAAGCCATTATGGCTCACCAGTACTTTGAAAAACTGATCTACTGAGGTTATCAGCACAGCCATCCAAGGGGACTCCCAAAGAGTCACCCAGAAGATCTTCCAAAAATAAAGACATTTAATTTGGTGAGGAAGAGGTTTTGTGAGAAAATCCGCGGGAGAAGGCCCAAGCCCATGACTACAGGAGAATAAAGTTTACAACTAGACGTTTCTGATTTCTCTACTAATTTGGGCCTAGAGGAAGGCTGGTAATTTTTTTTTTTAAATAATATCTTTATTTCTTCATTAAAGTGCCTCAAACACCTGCCTGTGAGCCTCTCAACTGCTCCGTATCTTACACTCAACTCTTCCTCTGGGCTGACAAGGAACAGTTGGAAAGGTCACCTTTAGGTTGGCGGAGATGCTTGACAACTTGCTGGGTTCCCAGGTGGAGGCGCGAACTGCGGCTGCGTAGCCACGGCCCCGGGTGCGGCGCTGCCGCGCCACTGTGAGGGCGGGACTTCCTCTGCCTTCCGGAGCCGTTTCCGACGTCCACCGGAAGTTGAGTGGCCGCGGGCTTGTTTCTCGAGCACCTCGCGGACTCTGGAGGGACAGAGTAATCGACCCTTAAGTGTCCCTTGGGTCTCTCAGGGGAGTGTGCTTTCGAGCTCCCGCTTCTGACCCGGCTCCTCTGCTCTTTCTCCCTCTGGGCTTCTTGGCTCCGTTCTCTGCTGCGGTTCTGTCCATGGCGGGGGCCACCCCTACCACAGCCTTCGGGCAGGTGGTAATCGGCCCTCCAGGCTCGGGGAAGACCACGTACTGCTTGGGCATGAGTGAGTTCCTGCGCGCGCTGGGCCGGCGCGTGGCGGTGGTGAACCTAGACCCTGCCAACGAGGGGCTGCCCTACGAGTGCGCTGTGGACGTGAGCGAGCTGGTGGGGCTGGCTGATGTGATGGACGCTCTGCGGCTGGGGCCCAACGGCGGCCTGCTTTACTGCATGGAATACCTGGAAGCCAATCTGGACTGGCTGCGTGACAAGCTCAGCCCCCTCCGTGGCCACTACTTTCTGTTCGATTGCCCCGGCCAGGTGGAGCTCTGCACGCACCACGGTGCCCTGCGCAGCATCGTCTCCCAGATGGCGCAGTGGGACCTCAGGGTGCGTCTTATGTTGGGCAGGCCCATTGTACAGATGAAGGAATTGAGGTTTAGGGAGGAGGGCAAATGCCATGACCCCATGTCATAACAGCGAGATAGGGGCCGAGTTGCTTTGGAGTAACATGTGAGTTGGAGTTCTGACTCTGCCACTGACTCGCTGTGTGGTCTGGGGTAAGTCAGTTAATCTCTCTGAACCTGAGGATTTTTTTTCTTTTATCATCTTTAAAATGGGTGTTACCCAACTCTGAGTTATTGAATATAGGAAAAGTAGCATGATTTTGAATTGGCAGGCAAAAGTGAATGCAAAGTCATATGCACTGCTCGCTAAGAGGCTCAGTGCAAGGCATCTTAAAAGGGAAAATGCCAGGGAGAAGGTAACTAGGGTGAATGTTAATTAGTACAAAACAAATGAGAGTGAGGATGCTGATGGGGAGGGTTTTGTTCTGGGAAGGTTTTGTCCTCAAGAACACCAAATCTGATGGAGATAAGACCTTGATTGCACTTCTTCCTCAGCTGCTCTCTCTGTCTTCCTCCCCTCCCAGCTGACAGCTGTGCACCTGGTAGATTCTCACTACTGCACAGACCCAGCCAAGTTCATTTCGGTACTGTGTACCTCCCTGGCCACCATGCTGCATGTGGAGCTACCCCATGTTAACCTCCTCTCCAAGATGGACCTCATTGAACACTATGGGAAGCTAGGTAAGGGATCCTTATCATGTCAGGCAGTCACTGGACGGGAGGGAAACAAAGATGTCAGTTGAAGGAAGCTGCTTCAGACTGCATGGCTGATTATAATAACCTTAGGCAAATCCTGACCCCTCCCAGTTATTTTAGGCCACTCTGCCAGATAAAATTCTAAGTTCTTTGGATGCAGATGAATTAAGGATGACTCAATTTTCAGTCTTGAACAAGTGACTATATATTTTTAAGTGCTGTCAAGTGGAGCACAGCTCATAACTACCCTTTGATCTAAACCGTGCCCTGTTCTGCACCATCCTTATCTTCTCTGATCTTTCATTTTAAGGGCTTTACCTCTAGTATCATATCTTAATGGTGTTCCTCTTGTTGCTCATAGGGTTTCCCAAGGCCTGTTATTTCAGAAGTGGATGACCAGGCCTTCTTCCCAATCTGTCTCAATCTGAAAGCCCCTCATTAAGGTGGGAAAGGCAGAGCAAGAAGCAGGCTGATTTGAGGTAGAGGCCCAAGAGCTAGCATTGAGCTGGGGCCATCAGTACCCTAAATAGCAGAAATTAGAAAAGATTGTGAAAATTATCAGAATATAGCCATGGTAGGAGGTTGTTAGGAAAGTAACAAGAACCTGACTAGGGAAGCAGATTTGCCCCCACTCAGGACATGGAGATATGTCAGCCCCTTGGAAGGGCGTCCTCAACCTAGAGTCCTGGTCTATCTCCTGGCAAGCACAGAAGCTGTTTAATTAGTTCCCAAATTTGTAGTCTTCCCAGGCCTCTCACCCTTCACAGCCTCCAGTCATAATGGTCCTAGAGACTGTTCCAGACAAGACACTGAAGCCTGGAAATAGTACATCAGTAATTAAGGTCAGTTACATAGTTGGTCTGTGCATCTAGATGAAGTTCAAGCCTAAGTGTATCTGTCTCCATTTTCTTAATTCTCAGGGAGAAGTACCTATTAAACAATCAGGCAAGTTTGTGTTGAAGTGAATATAATTTTCTTTTTTTGTAGAAATGGGGAGATCAGTTTCTAATCGGGCAGTTATTGTTAACCATGGATGCAGAGGCAGGGAATGAGTTGATAGCTCTCCAGCCATCTCATTTCCCCCAATTTGCTTTGAAACAAGCTGGTCAAGTTCTGGGAATAGGGATGGGCATGGCATTTTTCTTTTGATCTGACCAGGAACTTAAGAATCATCTAATGTAGTCTCTTCTTTTGTATTAAGAAGGAACACGTCCAGAAATGGAAATTATTTGCTTATTCTGCTCTTTGGTTGCCGTTTGTGGAGTCTTCAGTGTGAGCACCAAATTCTAGACATGCTATATGACTGAGCTCTGTCAGACAGGGACTAGTTCACTATCACTTCTTACTGTCATTAATCAAGGCTTTATCTATACTGAGGTTTGTTATTTAATTCTCACAACAGGACCAAGAAATGGTACTGGCTTATGTAGGTGATAAATGCCAGAGACAGTAGTTAAAACCAGGTATTCTCTGCATCAGAATTTGTTGAATGAATTAATGAGAACAAAAGAAGGAAGAAAGTGTGTTCTTCATGTCTTTACCCTGATGCCAGCTGCTTCTGAACACTGATATCTTGTTTTAGCTTTCAACTTGGACTATTATACAGAGGTCCTGGACCTGTCCTACTTGCTTGACCACCTGGCTTCTGACCCATTCTTCCGCCACTACCGCCAGCTTAATGAGAAACTGGTGCAGCTCATTGAAGACTACAGCCTTGTCTCCTTCATCCCTCTCAACATCCAGGTACTGGGAACCGGGAAGCCTCTTCCCTTGGCTATAGGCTCTGACAATGTCTAGGACCTCGTCAGAGGCTGTGGTACATAGGATTCCAGTAACTAGACTGGCTCGCTCTGTTTTGTATTGTTTCATATCATCCTAATGGCGTACTTTTTTACTGTAAAATGAGGAAGTCCAACCCTGTACCATTAATTATAGCAATTGCCATTTCTTTTTTTTTTTTTTTTTTAAATTTTGTGTGCGTGTACTGTCAAATCAGATCTGACTGGTACAGGAGGATATTGCGCCTCCTTCTCCAGCAGAGCATCTGGTGGATTCGAACCGTGTTTCTCTGGGATTGCAGTGCAGCTTCTTGCCACTAGGCCACCAGAGCTCCCCTAGCAATTGCCATTTCTAAAGGCTTTCTGTGTAGCAGCCACTATGTGAAGGACTGAAAGTGCATTATCTTGATTTGTCCTTCCTAGCACGTGATGCATAGATCCTGCTTACCACTGTTACGTGGTTGAGGAAGCAATTACAGCCAGGTCACATAACATGCATGTTTACTGAATGTTTACTGTTAACTCAAGACTGGAGAAGCTTCCATAAATAAGTCCCTGACCTAAACAGTCAACAATTAATTTATAATAAGGTTGGGAATATAAGTGGGCAGGGAGACTAGACCAATGGAAATAGGACAACCAGAATAGAAATAACAATGTTCATACATTGCGAAGAATTCTAACTAATGACACTGATAATCTTGCATAGAAATCATTAAATGGAAATCTAAATTGCTGTGCACTCCTTCAACAGAAGTGCACTAAAACATTATTTCTAAAATGATGTCAAGCAGTTAAAGTTACACCCCAATTCATTGCAGCTTTGTTTAGAATAACAAAGACAAAAACAACCCAAGTGCTCAACAGCAGATGATGAATAGCTAGAGAAACTCTGGTATGGGATACAATACAGTAACATACAATAGAGTAATATACAGCACTAAAAAAAGAAATTTCATGAAACACTGCATTGCCTGGATGAATGTAGAGGAGATTATGCTAAGTTACAAAAAGTCCGTTATAAAAAAAATAAATAAAACCCAAAAAGTCCGTTATAAATCATCAAAGAAGCACAAACTTGTTGTCAGATTGGAACTCACTCATAGCTGACCTTTCAGCAGTACTTCAGAAGCCATAAATCACACAGGAGGCAATTGCCCATCTTTTCTACTACACAGCAGCTGATGCATTTGAACCACCTGCCTTTGGATTGGCAGTACAGCTCCTTACACAGTAGGCCACCAGAACTGCCTGTGGTATTTCTGTCGAGTCAGAGCCAACTTACAACTGACTCTCCATTGGGTTTCATGGGAGGAGATTGTCCCTCCTCCTCCTCCTGAGGATCCACTGTCAGATCCAATATAACAGAAATACGCTAAGTGGGTGGTTAAAATAGTGATAAAACGCCACTCTTATAAAAGCTAAGAAGAGGCTTACAAACAGAATCATCCTTAGATGGTTACCAGGGAGGGGAAGTGAGGGAGAAGGGAGTAAAAATTAATAAATAGGTAAGTTGGTGAAAACAGAGGCATTCTATAATAAGGGATTGATCAGGCATTTTGATTACGTTAATAGGTGATAATGGTATAATGCAAAATGTCTAAGAATGAAAAACTAATTGTACATTTTCACTCAGTTGTGTTTTTTTTTAATGATGGTAAGCTTAAAGCTGCAAAAGGAATCAACCTGGGACACTGTGCGTGTAGGAGGGGCTTATCTGTTCTAATCTAGCTGGGCTGATGGCCAGCAAAGATGGAATTTAGTCAGGCCACTGGGGAACGTAGGAGTCTTTTAGCTCACAGAAGCTGCATGTGCAAAGATATTAGAAGACTAGATCAAGGCTGGTGTGTGTTGGTACAGCCTTAGTTCTGTACACCTTGTTGTCACTCACAACTGTTTTTGTCCTTCCCACCCAGGACAAGGAGAGCATCCAGCGAGTGCTACAGGCTGTGGATAAAGCCAATGGCTACTGCTTTGGGGTCCAGGAGCAGCGAAGCCTAGAGGCCATGATGTCTGCTGCAGTGGGAGCCGACTTCCATTTCTCCTCGTATCCTTGTTCTCTAGCTTACCTTATGCTTGGCCGCATCCACAAAGATGAGGCATGGGGCCCGGGGATGGTCCCAGCTTTATAGAGGACTCATTTCATGTTGACCACATGGGTACCCTAAGGGCTGTTTTTCATGCTCAAGTGCTCTACAGTGTTTCAATTGGTTACACCCGAGGAACTGGGAAGAAATTTATTAGAAGGAACAAAAAAATACAGAGCTGGAAATGAGAGGGCAGGGAGAAACACAGAAGAATAGGCTTCCTGGTATATTGAGTGTGAAGAGGGAAAGAAATGCAGCAGTGTCGGGGTGGAAGGTAAGACTGGTGATTCCCGGACTGAGTGCTCTGCTAAGGATGGTGGACTTCAGTTCACGGATGGGCACTGAGGATTAGCATAGTATTCTTGTATGCCTTGTGTATACTTCTAAGACAAAGGCTCTGATTTTGTGTCTAAATCTAGTGCCACTATAACAAACACTCCGAGCTTTAAGAACAGAAGCATTTTTTTCAAGTGAAAGAGGCTTCAAGTCTGAATTCTGGACACCTGCTCTAGAAGGCTTTCCCTCTCTGTGCGCTCTAAGAGAAGGTCTCTTTCAACTTCTGGTACTAGATTCCTTTGAGATCTGATGCTGTGGCAGCTACTATCATCTGTGCTTGCTTCTTGTGTAATCTCATTTTTATCTCAAGAGATTCAAGGCACTGATACCACCTCATAGGAAAGTGTAGTATTTATTACACAGACATGGTAGGATTTACAACAGTTGTGGTCTTGGCAAAGAGTACCACATATCCCACGGACTTCCAGAAGAACAAAGAAATTTGTTTTGGAGGAAATGCAACCAAAGTGCTCTTTAGAGGCAAGGATGGTGACACTTCATCACACATATTTTGGATATGTTGTCAGGATGTGTCAATCCAAAAAGGAGACCCTTAACAAGATGTATTGACATGGTAACTGCAAGAATTTCAGCCAGGTGTTGATGAGGACAGTGCAGTGTAAGACTTGATTTTCAACTATTATTCGTAGGATTGCTGAGTCATAAGCAACCCATTAGCATTTAACAACAAATAATTTGGGTATGTACAATTCATTTCCTAATTGGAAAATAGATTTGAGGAATGTGCTTAGGAACAAGAGGGTTTTTTTACTTTTACTGAGAAGGGTTGAAATGTTTGCAGTGAAAGTAGAAAGAGGGACATGGATTAGAAAAATGTGTTAAGATTCCTTGGGATTGCTGTGCATCACATAATTATGATCAGTTTCCAGGACACATGGCAACAAGACTTTAGGAGTTGGTTGCTGGGTCGTTATGGGATAAAGCGAGGTGCAGTTGAATTTAGACTTATATTTTTGGCTTCAACTGTGGGGTGAGTCATTTTGCTAGTCAGTCCAGCAAGACAAAAAGGGGTTAGGTTTTTTTGGTGAAAGGGAGCTGGTGGTTACGGGGCATGAAACATCAAGAAGTCTTCAGGAAGCAACTAGGAACTTATGTTAGTGACCAGTAAAAGAACCAAGAGTGTGAGTAGGATGGCCTTCAGATCAAGAATGCCTTGAGTGAGACAGGACAGAGTCACAGTTGATGGTCTCACAGATTTACCATTAGAATAAAAGATGCTAGACTCAGCAGGATGAAAGAGAGGTGGGACTCCAGAGTCCCTGTCTATGAAGGGAGATAATTCTAACTAGTACTTACAGATCCATGTCAGGCCCTTTCACTTGTAAGAAAGCTTAGAAGGGGGCAGACAAGTTTCTGATGGCAGTAAGAGTGTGGAGTAAGGTACTGAGGAGTTGTCTCATACATGCAGTTTTGTTTTTTGGGTTTTTTTCATACATGCAGTTGATGTTGGCAGTCAGCTGCATGTGCTCAGCAGAAGAGGAGAGAGGATGATTTAGTGTTCTAATTGTATTTTGCACATTATACATCCATGTATAATATAGTATAGGAGTGTGTTCACAAAATCATGTATTCTATATTTAATGAGTAATTTAGGAAACTTTTAAAGGTAACTTTCATCATGTATATTCATGTTGATTTTTTAGACCCTGACCCCTATCCCTCCCCATTAAAATCAGCTTCATTTTGTATATAAGGGATTGCTCAGCTTGGCTGGAGTTGGGGAGTGTAAAGGAATGCTTAGAGGTTATGCACTTAAGTTGCAGCATCTCAAAGTGTGACTCTGGCTGATTAAGAGGGAATAAGAATTCAAAGCGGAAGAAATGGTATAAGCAGAAGTAGGAAGAAGTAAAAAATGGAGACATCTTGAAGTTGGACATAGGATAACATGACTTGTGACAAACCGGTCAGGCTCCTGGCTGGGAAGCAGTGGTAGGGTTAGATGGGTAGGCAGGCCCAAAGTGGGATTTCGTGTGCCCTGCTCAGGATTTTGAGTTGAGGGGTAAGGACAAATTCGAAGTCAAGCAGGATGACCTGAGTAATCCTCAGGGTAGACGCAGCATCAGTGCCTTCTGAGGAAAATTAAAGTGATGGGCACAGGTTTCAGAGAATCTGTTTTGAGTAGGAGTGACATGAATTTTTCAAAGGGTTTTTGTTTATTTCGGAAAAGAATGCATATTCAAAGAATTTAAGAAAGCACTAGTTCGCCTTCCACTCCATATTTCCTTTCACAGGGGAGGTTTTTCCCTTTAGGGATATAATTTTCTAATCTATCATTACTATTTTCCCCTAAAAAAAAAACCAAAACACTAGTTTAATACTAATGAATCTTTAAGGATCAGAATTTGGGCATGGTGGAAAAAATTAAACATTTCTAAAAATTGGAAAACACAGCCAGAACTGCTAAGATCCTCATTAACGCTTAGGAAGAGCCTTCATATAACTCTGACTTTTATTAAACTAGAAAGTCTCATCTGGTTATTTCAGGGTTCCCCGTATGCAAAATAAAGAAAAGATTCCCTAGGTTGATCTCTATGAGGGAGAAAAGGATTTTGATTGATGACCCCATAAAAATAGCAAAGTTCTATGGAGCTCTGGTGACCTAGTGGCAAGAAGCTGCACTGCAATCCAGAGGCGCGGTTTGAATCCACCAGATTCTCTGCTGAAGGAGGAACAGTCTACTCCTGTACCAGTCAGATCCAATTTGATGGTACACACACACAAAAATAATAAAATGAAAAAAAATAGTAAAATTCTGAGGACATTTTAATGACTGAGTTCTTCACTGGCAAGACCTCATTTCATTCTCATTAACTGCTTTTTATTGTTGAAGAAATTGAGACTTCCAGGAGACAGCAGATGCCTTGGTGGTGCAGTGGCTAATCACCTGGCTTGCTAACCGTAAAGGTCAGTGTTTTCACACCTTCCAACCACTCTGGGAGAAAATCCTATGGGATGTTTCTCTGTCTTACGGGATTGTTATGAACATGAATTGATGTATGTGTGTTTATCTTGGTTTTGTTTTAGATTTGTTTCCTTTTTCTTTCCCCCCAGAATAAACAGGAAAATTTAACAACTTTGCAATCGTGCATTTAAACCGAAGGTATAAATATGAATACATTTGTTTCCTTCTTAAGTCAGTTGATAGTATTGGGTTTTTTCCAATTCCTTCTACTGTTCATGATGGATTAGAGTTAACTGTGGGCGAAAGAGTAGGGTGTGGCATTTTAATTGTTTTGTTTTTATGTGCTATTGCTTCAGCTGTAACTTAAAACACCTATATGTGCCACAGATAGGAACCTTGCCCTATCTTGTGGCATCCTTGCAATCTTTGTCATGTTCAAGCCCATTGTTATAGTCACTGTGTCAGCCCATCTTGTTGAAGGTCTTTTTCAGTGACCATCTTTCCCACTATGGTATCTTTTTCCAAGGACTGCTCCCTCCTGATAACATGCCCAGAATATGTGAGATTGTTACCATCCTTGCCTCTAAGAAGCCCTGACTGCACTTCCTCCAAAGCAGATTTGTGTATTTGCATGTTGTTGTTAAGTGTGGTGTTAAGTCGCAGGCGACTCATAGCGACCCTATGAAGGAGAGTCCTCAACACTTGTGTGTCTCTCATGCTCTCTCCAGGTTCATAGGGTTTCCGGAGGCAAGCTATTACGGAAGTGGATGCCGCTCCTGCTTCCAAGCTTGTTTTAATCAGGGAGTTTCACCCAACACTGTCCACCATGGGTAACCAACCATTAACACATTTGACATATCAGCGTCACAGTGTTCAGCCTCACAGCAACCACAAGTTACCTCTGTATGACAAGTGGATGGACACACCAGGGCTATATGACCTAGAGGAATGTTTGAACAAAAACAGTGAAAGACAGGCCTGAGGACTGCGGATTAAAAGTCACCCACCTTTGGCTTAGTAGCATCGCTTTCTCTCCACTGGGCCAGCTGATCACTCTCTATGTTGATGTTTATTTGCATAGGAAGCAATTAAAAATAGAGTGGCTTGGATCAGTATATCACAGTCTTATAACTAGCAATCCTTGCTCTTTACTATTTTGAGTAAGTTCTTGACAGCTAGTTTTCCTGCTGTAATACATCTTTTTCTTTTTTTAACTGCTACGATGGGTGTTAGCAAGCTTTGGTGGCCTAGTGGCAAGAAGCTGCAGTTCCAAGGTACATGGTTCAAGGCCACCAGCTGTTCCGTGGGAGAAGGATGGGCAATCTCCTCCCACTTGATTACGGCCTCTGAAATCCCACTGGAGGGTCAGTTTCAACTCTGCAGTATACAGTAATACCAGAGTAGTTGGGAGCTCTGATGGCCTAGTGCTGAGAAGCTGCGTTGCAATCCCAAAGGAACAAAGTTTGATTCTACCAGCTGCACCACAGAAAGATGGGCAGTTTCCTCCCATGCAATTAACTGCCTCTGAAAACCCACTGGAGTGTCAACTGTAGGTTAGTTCCAACCTGGTGGTATAGAACAGCAACAATGGTTGTTGGTTATGGATCTAAGTAGAAATCATTGACTGCTTCAATCTTTTCTCTTTTATTAAAATGTTGCCTGTTGGTCCAGTGGTGAGGGTTTTTGTTTTCTTGATACTGAGATGTAATCTGTATTGTAGTCTTTAATTTTCAGTAATTGCTTCAGGTCTTTACTTTCTGCGGACAAGTTTATGTCCTTGGCATAAACAAGTTGTTGACGAGTCATTTTCCCATTTTAATGCCCCATATTTCTTCATAGAGTCTAGCTTCTCAAATTAGTTTGCTTATCATACAGATTGAGTAGGTATAAAGAAAGGATACAGCCTTGACACACACTTTTCCTGATTTTGAACCATGGCAGTGTTTTCATGTTATGTTTGGACAGTTAACTTCTTGAGCTCTGAGTAGGTTTTCTATAAGCACAGTTAAGTGTTCTGAAATTCCAGTTCTTGTCAGCCTTATCCATAGTTATTTTAATTTGTTTTGGGGGGTTAGGGGTTTTTTTGTTTCTAGGGTTAATGATTGTTTAGGGGAAATGCTGGTGGTGTTTGGGTATACTATGGCAGCTGAGAAATGACCAGAGACCCGGGGTCTAATTCTATGGTATTGAGTGCATGATTTATAGCTTTTTAAATAGAGAATCTTGCAGTTTAATAATGGTGGTGAAGTAGAAGTATGCAATTGTGACTTGAATAGTCTAGGGAATAGTGTGGTGTTTAGTAGTGAGGAGGTTGGCTTGTACCCTAAGTTAGAGTAAGCAGAGTGACAGCCTCAGCATGAGCTCGAGGAATAGTTCAAACCTGTGGCTGTCAGAAACCTCGCTCTGGCATTGGTTCATCTAGTAGAACAGCCACAGCTCTGTCTCCTCTAAGTTTTTTCTTTTGGCTGACCCTATTTTGTTAGGCCAGGCAGGCTCACAGAGCACCCTCTGCAGTGTTGCAGTCTTTTCCTTTGTGAATCTGATTTATGACTTCCTGCCCCACTTTCTTGCTGTTCCAAAGAGAAGAAGAAGGTGTCCTGCAGTCCACACAGGAATTTGTCACTTTCTTTGACTTCTCAGAAATTCTTTTTAAAAAAATTAATTTTTTTAAAATTATTATTAAATTTTATTAGTTTTAATGAACATTTACAGAGATTTTGGGTTTTCATTCATTCATCCTTGCACTGTTTTCTCTACCCTCCTCCCCAGTTCGTTCTTCTTCCCTCCCCAAATGTCTGTTTTAATTGTCCAATTGCCACAGTGCTTGTCGAAGCCAGTTCTGATTAATCTCCTTTGTCAGTGTGTCCTTTGCCATTCCCTATCACTCCTCCCTGAAAGAGACTTCACCCTGATTCATAAGGAAAAGGGGATGGCGTATTCTCTTAGCTACTTCCTGCTGAAAAGGGATGCTGTGGGTTTCAGGGTGAAGATCTTCTCTCACTACTCTAATAGGCCCCTTTGGCAGTGGGAAACACATAGACTATTATGGAGATTGATTTTGGAATTTAGATGCATTGTTAGCAATTGTGCTTAGCTGTACATGTTCATATCCTTGAAGATGTATCATGGAAGTGTTGCGGCCTAGAAGACACAAATTTAACTAACAAGTTAAAAGTACATGAGTCAAAAATTAAAAGGCAATAATATTCTGAGTAGAGGTTCTAATAGTGGCACAAATCAGGTTACAGAGGGAAGGTGGTTCTTCAATAAAAGGCCTATAGACTAGCACTTTGTCTATTATAGTGTAGAGGTTAGGAACCACAAGATGTAGAGGCTCAGCTATGTCATTTATGGTTCTTAAGTCCTGGAGCAAATTCCATCTACCACTGGGTTGTTTTACAACTCGGAAGTTCGAATGTGAGGTAGACGTGAAGTAACGAACTGCTTATGAGGTTTTCCGTCCATTCCAACAACTAAGAAATAGTGAGAAGAGTTGGGACCTCAGAAATTAATATTTTAACAGCAGTTTACAGAAAACTTGAATTTCTATTCACTCACTGTTGCACATTTTCCTTCTTACTCTCCCCAAGTTTGCTTTTCTTTTAAAAAAAAAATATTTAAATTTTGCACAATTTGCTCCGTTCTCCCCACCTTTCAGTTCACTTTGCTATACACCTCTTATTCTGGACTGTTGACATGCAAATAATACCTAATCAGATACTCCTTTTTCCTTTTTAAAAAAATTTTTAAATTTTATTATTTTTGTGTGTGTGTACCGTCAAATCAGATCTGACAGGTATAGGAGGAGATTGTTCCTCCTTCAGCAGAGCGTCTGGTGGATTTGAACTGTGCACCTCTGGGATTGTAGTACAGCTTCTTGCCACTAGGCCTCCAGAGCTCCCTTCAGATATTCCTTTTAAATAGTTCTTTCCCTCATCTGTTTCAATGCAGTGTTCATTATTCCCTCTTTTCTTCGTTTCTCCCCCAATCCCATGGCAGTCCTGTTTTATAACAGTGGCATTATGCAGTATTTAACCTTTGTGACTGAGATATTTCACTCAGCATAATGTTCTCCAGGGTCACCCATTTTATCTAATATTTTGTGAGTTCTTTGTTTTTCAGTGTTGCGTAGTATTCCATTGTATGAATATACAACAGCTTTTCTATCCATTTATTGATGGGCACTTGGGTTGCTTCCATCTCTTTGCTATTGTGAACAATGTAGCAATAAACATAGGAGTGCATATATCTGTTTGGGTGGCAGTTCTGGTTTCTTTAAGGTATATTCCAAGTAATAGAATTGGTGGGTCAAATGGTATTTCTATTTTAAGAAAGTACCATACTGCCTTCCATAGTGGTTGCATCATTTTACATGCCTACCAATCATGAATAAGGATTCCAATTTCTCCACAACCTCACCAGTATTTGTTGTTTGCTGCTCTTTTGAACTTTGCTATTTTTACAGGGGTGAGATGATATCTCAGTTGTTTTGATTTGCATCTTTCTTTAGAGGTAGAGATCTTGAACATTTTTTCATGTGTGTGTTCATCTTCTGAATGTCTTCTTTGGTGAAGTGTTCATATTCTGAGCCCATTTTGCGATTGGGTTGTTTATCTTGTTTAGGTGCTGGAGTCCCTTATCAGACATGTCATTGCCAAATATTTTTTCCCCAGTCTGGCTTTCCTTTTTACCCCTTTGGAGAAGTTTTTTGATGTGCATAGGGATTTGATTCTTAGATGTCCCATTCATCTGTTCTCTTTTGGTTATGGATGGAAGTTCTGTCTCTTGTCAGTAAAATGTTACTGTGAGCCATCACGTTGAAACTGACTCATAGCTGACTCCCAGTGGGTTTTCAGAGCAGGAAACTGTATAAAGAGGAGATTGTCCATCCTTCTCCTGTGGAGCAGCTATGGATTTGAACTGCATGCCTTTGGGATTTCAACACAGCTTCTTACTACTAGGCCACTAGAACCCCCTTAGATGTCATTAAAATAGAAGTCATAAGTACTGACCATCTGCTATGTGTAAGATAAGATAGGTCCTTATTGTCTTAAGTAATCTTTACAACTCTCCCATCTAAGATCTGAACCCTTAAAGTCTGGTTCCAGAGCATGTACCTTGAAGCGAAGCTGTGGGGTTAGCACTTGGGTCATCTGAGACAGGGAGAAAGCAAGTGTAGAAGCTCTTGGCTCCAGACTGACTCCTTTTGCTTGTGACCTAAAGCTATAATTTGTGAAGATGGGAGAGGGCTGGGAGGAATATGTTGGGCATGATTGGGACAAACTTCTGGAGGTCCAATCCTGTCCAGACCAGCTCCCTGTCCTCTGCTTATGCTGTCAGCCTTAACGAACCCCTCCTGCCAGTACCCTGGGCATCCAGGAGAAGTACCTGACGCCCTCAGACCAATCAGTGGAGCAGGAAGCCATGAAGTTGTAGCCATAACCCAGCTCCTGAGAACAAGACTCAACACCACAGTGCTGGGGAAAGTGGAGGCTTCCCGTGGTCAAGAGCTTATCAGGTTACAGAACCAAGAACAAATCATTCTAACTAGAACTGAAGTCTGTGTAAAAGACTGGCAGGAAAAGCCTAGCAGGTCCACAAAGAGCAGGGCACCCACCACTCCTGCTGCATGTGTGCACCGGCCCTGCCGCCTGGAACTCTGGCCCCATTCCAGCAGTGGTGGAATGTGCTTTGCTCCAATATAAAGTTCATTTTCTACTCTGGTTTCTAGGCTTTCTTTGATTATCCAGGGCCAAGGAGTTGGGACAGAACAGAAAAGCATCGTTCTCTTCCCTCCCGCAGCTGCCTCTCCCCAGGAGAATGCTGTCTCAGCATCTGTGTGTCTCTTTCAAAGACATCGCTCAGAGCTTGACACTCAACTTTCTAGTCTTGTGCTTTTGCTGATCTTCCATTTTAACAGCCAGCCTCAGCCAGAAAACCCACACAGGCAACACTCTCTGACTAGACCTTAAACACACTTTATTTTCATTATATTTATTTTAGTTTTATTCTATTTTTTGTAAATGTTAACTAGTTTTTCTTTTATAGTAGTAATTAAAAGATTTTTTAAGTATGAAGTTATTTATATAAAATAACTTTTAAAAATATTATGTATATACTATATAAAAAATGAGGGTTTTATGAGGATGTGGTAAAACTTGCCTGGAAAAAAAAAGTTCAGAAACAGCTTTGAACTTGCCTCTGATTGGATGTAGTTTATCTTTTTAGCCAGTAGGTGGTGTCCCAGGCTCTCTTTTGCAGTGGTAGCCTGGCAGCAGAAGGTGCCAGATGGACCAGAGAAGGTGGTTGTGCCAGAATTCTTATTTGCAGATATTTGGGACTGTTAACACACATGAATGGCTTGGCATTTTATGAAGTGCTTTCACACACATGGTCCTCATGAGGTTCACACGACAGTTCCCAGAGATAGGAGTTGAGGAATGTTGTTAAGACCCATTTTCTAGGGAGAAAAAAGCAGGTTGAACTTTGGTCAGCCTGACTTTCCCAGCCCACTTTGCCAAATTTTTAGTTGTGAATATTTATCCTTTGATGTACTTGCTGGTGATAAGCCACAGCTCTTAGCCCCAAGATTTTGTCAGCAGCCAGGAGAAAGAGTAGGCATTTATAAAGCACTGCTGGATCAAATTAAGGTGTTAAGAGAGGGCACTGGTGAGGGCAGTTGAGACTTCTGATTAATAAAATTTATGCTGGAGTGTCACTTAGATGGGGTAACTTCACTTTGCTTTTAGGTTGTGGGCAGCCAGAGTGGGAGTAAGGAGAGGAAGGGGCTCTGAGGAGTCTGCTGGGGCTGGAACAGTTTGAGAGCAGCTGACCTTCACTCCCACGCCGGGGTGTATGGGGGATAATAACTAGGTGCTGCCTCTGAAGCCTCTTTCATCTGAGGAGTTCAAAGCACTTCACCCCTATTAACATACTGTACAGTAGGTGGGGAGTATCACCTCAACCCAGCAAGCCGGGGAAACTGAGGCTCGGAGGCTCAGCCTGGGGTTGATGGTGAGTCACCTGAGCCTAGAGCCCAGGACAGTTGACGCCCAGGCTGCTGGACATGTCCTTCATCAGCCAGTGTGTGAGGGTAGGTGCTGTGGTCATTTTTTGATGCTCACTCCTCAGAGGCCCCCTGCACTCAGCAAAGCAGCCGAGGCGTGGGGACTTGAAGGCGTTATTACAGCGTTATGACCTTGTACCCAAGCACCTTCAGCATTGACTCTCTGCAGCTATAAAGTGGGGGATGAAAATAATCAGGAACTTATTTTCTGTCCTTGTTTTGATAAAAAGTGTGTTCTCCTCTAGTAAACAGTTCTGTTCACCTCCTATTGATGCTGAAGTGAATTTCTGTTCCTCTGTATATATACTGACACGATGGGAGGGGACAACACAGTACAGGTTAGAGAAAAGGTTGGCCTTAAGATGAGGCCTGTTCAAGGTGAGATGGAGGAGAGAAAGGCTGGCCAGTATTGCTGGCATGTGGCAGCCATTGTTTTTTCTTTGCTGTTAATTAAAAATTTGGAAAATGAAGAGGAAAAAACTGAAAAAGTCATCTATAATCTTAAGACCTACAAATCACTAATATTTGTAACTGATAATTATTTAAATACACATTGTATTCTTCCTTGTAGTCTGATCTTTCTGTATACACATAAAAGATGATGCAGAATTTGCATGTGAAATATTTTATAATTACTTTGTAGCCTGCTTTTTTTTTAGTTAAAATGCTATGTAATTAAAGATATCAAGAAGACTTAGACAAAAGTAGATTAGTGGTTACCAGGAGGTAGCCTGAGAAGAGTAGGGAGTTACTGCATTAATTTTTTTCCTAAAATGTTTGTTTTATATTTTTCAAGGAATTAAGTTTGCTTTGCTTGATTTAGATCCAGAGGCAATGTGATGACAAGATAATTTATGATACATTAAAATGTGTAGAATCAAAATAAAGAATTTTTTTAAGAATTTCTTATACTGGCGAGCTCTGGTGGCTTAGTGACAGGAAGCTGTACTGCAATCCCAGAGGTGTGCAGTTCAGATCCACCAGATGCTCTGCTGAAGAAGGAGGGATAATCTCTATCAGTCCGATTTGATGGTACACACATAAAAAAAAAGAATAATAAAAAAATTTTTTAAAAAAAGAATTTCTTATACTGCAGAAGTTCCATACCAGTTGGCCTTGAATTATTTTAAAGTGTACTATCAAAACAAAAAGTGCTAATCCAAAGCATTTAGCCAATTTTCTTTTTTTCCCACTTTATATATATTAAATATACATACATAAGTGTATTTTTCTTTTCCTCCCAGGTATATGTGTATGTACTTTTTGAAGACCTTTCTATTGCCTACGCAATATTGCATCATATAACATTGGTTACATAGCCAGTTGTCTATGTTAATCTATTATAACTCATTTCTGTTGTTCTCCTTTGGAAATAGTACCATGATTAACATGTTTATATCCCAATTTTCATTCACCTTATAAGCATGTGAATAAGGAAGACTGAAGAAAAAGTTGATGCCTTTGAATTGTGGTGGGAGAGAGAGAAGTATTGGCAAAGAGTGTTGAATATTCCATGAATTACCGAAAAGCAAATCTTGGAAGAAGTGCAATCAGGATGCCCTTTAGACACAAGAATGGTCCAGGTTCTGGCAAGGTTTTGTTCATTCTCTATGAGTCAGAATCAACTTAATGATCATAAAAACACATCCAAATCGAATCTCTTGGTTTTTCTTTACAATAAAGTCCTACAAATAGCTGCAACTCATACTGCCAAAAATGCTTTCCAGAAAATTGATTTCATGGTTTCACTGAGCATAAAAAGGTATGTTACAGACGTCACTTAATTGTAAATAACTTCCAGAGTGACCTCCTTCACTGTCAAGTTGATTCCATCTCCATCAGGTTTTGAGGCTGCAAATTTTTCTCCCATGGAGCAACTCAGATTTGAGTGGTTAGAGATGTGCAGCCTTTTGGTGATCAGCACACGACCTTACTGGCTAAGCCACTAGAGCTTAGATCTCTTGGTCATCTCTGGTAGCCTCTGATAGAGCCATTTTCTAGTGCTGAGCTACAGTCTTCAATATGGGTGACATCTCAAAATCAAGCAAAAACTAAACACTGGATCAATCATGATGGACAAAGAATTAATGTTAGGGTTTCTTACTATTTGGATCTACAATCAACACCCATGATACCAGCAGTCAAGTTCTCAAAAGATGTGTTGCATTGGGGAAATCTGTTAAGAACCTCTTTTAAAGTGTTAAAGAACAAGGCTATCCATTTAAAGACTAAGGTGCACCTGATTGAAGCCATAGTATTTTCAGTTCCAGGAAGGAACTGAAAGTGCATCTAAAAGTTGGATGATGACCAAAGATGACTGAAGAAGAATGCCTTTGAATTGTGTTGGAGAAGAGATCCATGGATTTCCAAAAGAAGAAATCTGCCTTGTAGGAAGTGCAACCAAAGTGCTCCTTAGAGGCAAAGATGATGAAACCTCGACTCAGGTACTGTGGGCATGTTGTCAGGAGGGGTCAGTCCTTGGAGAAGACATCATGCTGGGAAAGGTGGAGGGTCACAGAGGAAGACTCAACGAAATGTACTGACACAATGATCACAATAGGCTTAAGCAAAGGAGAGTTGCTGGTAATGGCACTGGGGAGGCAAGATTCCTATCTGTTGTTCATAGAGTTGCTATGGGGTACAGTCAGCTCTATGGCACCTAACACAATAGTGCTGAATTGGGGACCCTGACAACTGGAAGGTAGTATTCCTGATCCCATGCCCTGCAAAAGAACAAACTTGTGTTGGAGAAAGTGCAGCCAGAGTGCTCCTTGGAGGCAAAGATGCTGACTCTGTGTCACATGCCTTGGTCATGTTGCTAGGAGAGGCTAATCATTAGGGATATCATGCTTGGGGAGGTAAAGGGATGACGAAAGAGAGGAAGACTGACCTCGACCAGGTAGGTTGACAACAGTGACTGCGGCAGTGGGCTTGAGTGTGTCAGATCGTGAGCATGGCAGAGGAACAATGGGGTTCAGATTGGTGGTTCATAGGGTCGTTACAAGTTGCACTCAATAGGTAATTGGGAAGACTTCCAGTACAGACAAGCTTAGGTGACAGGTAGAGCCCTCAAGTCTGTTATGTACCGTAGGATTGTCATAGCTGACCCTCCAGCAAGTTTTTAGTCAGTAAATCACCTAGGAAGAAATTGCCCATCTTTGTCCTGAGGAACAGCTGGTAGATGCAAATTGCCTTTGAGTTGTTAGCACACCTCGTTATCCCTGAGCCAAGTCTATGGACTTGAAACACACTCATTCAAGAATAAATGCTGCCAAGTTCATAGCAGCATTATTTACCATCACGAGGACATGGAAGCAGCCCAAATGTCCAACTGTCCAACCACAATCGAGTGGGTTGAGAAATTATGGTA